CTTTATATTATATCTGCTACTTCTTTGCTGATAATCTTTTTTTTCATTTATTTAAAGTGTGTTTTTACTTGCTTATTGAAGTATTTTTGTGATGATTGATAATTCTAACATCTCTGCCACCATGGTATTGACATTCACTGATTATCCTTTTTATTCAGTTTGAGATCTTGGTTCCGGGTAAGATCAGTAATTTCCAACAGAAATTTGGAAATGTTGGGTCTTATGTTGTAAGATTCTGGATTTCACTTAAACTTTCTGTTTTTGATTGCTTCCTTTGTCAGTGCTCCAGTGGAGGGAGAAGGGGCACTGCCTCATTACTGTTGCTTGAGGATAGAAGCCCAAATTTCCCACATGGCCCCCGCTGATATCCCAAGGGTAGTGACTCCTTGTTACTGCTGGTCAGGAGTGGCAGTTTGTTCCCCACTGAGCCTCCACTGAAAACTTCCTGGCTGAGAGAGGTATGAGTACCTTGTTCCCCCATGAGCTCTGCTGACAACACCTTAGTGTGGACAGGGAGAAGAACTGTAGCCTCCTCATGTGGTCTCTCCTAACATCACAGGGAGGGAAGGGCCCTTGTTACTACCACATGGAGGTGAAAACTCTGGACTCAGCTTTCCCTAACACCAGCCCCGCAGCAATGCTAGAATCTGCAAGGGTGCAAGTCCAGGCTCCCCTCAGCTTTTCGTGACATGATGAGAGAAGACTCATAGTTTTATTCATGCAGTTCGGCTGAAGAAGAGTGGTTATTGTGTAAAAGCATTCTGTCTTGCTGTGCTGCCTCTATCCTGTTATTTGGCTTAAGAGAGCAGGCTTTTGTTGGTGCGTTTTCTGTCTGTGCCTATTGACATTTCCAAGTTGCTGCCAAAGAGAAACTCAGGAACCCTCCACCATGTTATTCTTTGGATTCCAAAGTCCCTAGTCAGTCTACTTTTCCCCATGCTTTCCAAGTCTTACACATGTCATATATATAGGGTCCAAAGACTTTAGTTGTATATAGAGATAGGAAAAGGAAAAAATACCTCCACTCCATCTCCCTGGAAGTAAAAGTCTCTGAAAATTTTTTTTAATTAAAAAATTTTAATTTTCTAATATTTCTCTTGATGAAGCAACTTCTTCAAAAGTATGCCAACTTTGTAGACTTCTTAGAAATAATAATGCATTATACTTGCTTCAACAAATATAATGGTAGATTATTTAATGTGTATAAATATTCTTTAATAAACAAAAAACACCCCCTAACACTCACCCAAATCCTACAGAGGTGCTTGTAAAGAAGAACGATGAAAATAAGAATTTCCTTTCCTAATAGATTACAGTACTTGACAGAGGTGAATTTCTGGAGCATAGCTCTGCCTTAATTAGCTGTTGCTATAATAATGCTACATAAAAAGCATTCCCAAACTCAGACACTTAAAACTAATTCTCATGCCTGTGGGTCTTCAGGTTGACTGCAAGTTGGCTGAGCTGAGCTGGACTTCAGATTTCAGGTTCTAGCCTGCTGTCTGGGTTCCTGTCAGGAGACATGTGTTTCTCATCTTCCCAAACCAGCAGCTCCTGGCACATGTGAATGGCTTCATGTGTCTCATTCTAAAGTTCAGGCTGAAAGGTTAGACACTATCTGAGGCACATGTTTTCCATGATAGATTGTCAGGTCACTGATCCCCACAAGACATTCAAGGCCTCTGCTTGCACCTTGTTTACTAACATTGCACTGCAATCACATGGCCGAGTCCAGTAGCAATGAGACAGGTTAGTGTACCCAGCACAAGGTGGGAAAAGAGAGGAGTCACTATTTGCTAATACAAACGCTAATACAGACTGTGATGATTTCTTTTACTAACCTTGTTCCAGTGAGGAAGGGGAGAAAAAGCCAGTTCACTTGCCACCTGGAACTTTACAAGTATACTAGGGCCCTTTTCATTTTACTCAGCTATTTAACATGCTGGAGCCACTTCCCTTGTCTTAGATCCAAAATTAATCAGTTACTAACGATTCCCTGACCCTTTTCCTCATGCCTGCTTTCAAAGTGACCTCTCCAAGTTTGGCCTTCTCCAGCTACTGTTGTTCCTTCAAAGAGCTATTTCCTCTACCTTCCTATACACCTAAATGAAAAAAAAAAAAAGACATCCTGTTATTCTTTGGTGCAGATAAACACGTGTGTGTGTCTTTTGTAAGGATTTTTTATATGATGACAGAAAGAGTTCCTCTAGAATCCTTTCCCCCAATTTAATTATTTCTTTTATTGCATTCTTGCAAATTTCCATTTCCTTTAATTCTGAATCTCATCATTTGTTTGCCTAATTGGGATGCTATAAAGACTCTCAAGATCAACCAGTTGTAGGAGTGCCATAAACTTGGTATTTAATTCTGCCTCTGTCACTTCCCAGTTGTTTTATCTTGGGCAAGTCAAGAGCCTTTCAGAAGCTGTGTTCCCATATGTGCAGTGGAGCTAAAGATATCGATCTTACTGGATTATTGTGAAGACTGAATGAGATTATGCATTTCAAATTCCTCTGTGAAGAGGCCAGTGCTGATCGATTATAAATGATTCAAATATAAAAATTGAGTGGAAGGGAAAATGCTCATTTTCTCATTTCTCCTTATGTTTATTTCCAATTCAAAACATTTGGAAACAAATGGAGGACTTTTTATTTAGACAGCTAGAGTTAATTCCTTTTACACAACTTCATGGGTTGGAGGAAGCTGATGGAGTTAGATTTTCCTCATATCTATTGCATCAAAGATTCATTTCAGAGAGTTCACCCATTGGTAAAATCTCCATCACCCATTTGTCTAGTCATGAGCCCTGGTTTTGCTTCTTGTGTGTGCTATAAGACCATGCAAGGCCCTAGGCACTCTTCTTTTGGGAATATCCACCCTTCACCATATTAAAGAGATTAAAACACATTCACAGCTCACTATAAAAATAGTGAAGTTTTCGTTGTGAAGTCTTTGCTGTGAAGATGGAAAATATTTTATAATTTTGCTTTAGAAATTATTTGCTTCAATAAATTTATTGAAATTTTTATTGGATATACTTTATCAGCCATCATTCTACCTTTTAGGAATTCTTGAGAAGTAACAAAATCAAACTTAAAAATTATTTATGATGTTACTCTATTTCTTTGAATTCTAAATTTAAGAAATATGTAATGAGGTTGACAGGATGTTATAGTTTATTGACTTTTAATCAAAATGTATTAATTTTTAGGCTTTCTTTTCATATTTGAAAGTGTATATACTTTATAAAATGTGTGTGTGTGTGTGTGTGTGTATATATATATATTTTTTTTTTATGGGGGGTTTCAAACATTGTCCTAGGATCTTTAAAATACCATAGTTCTGAGGCATGCAGTCTGGGTAAAAGAAATAGCAGATGTGGCTCTTTAAGTATTTCCCCTTGTAAAATTTACCTAATACTTCCGGACCTGCCAGACCTCATCACTGTGTTGGAGCAAGTTAATGCCTCAATGTTTCCAGTGTCAAAATTCAAGTATCCCCAGTCTACCTTCCAAATCCTTGTGTGGGGTAAGCAGAAAAATGATCCCCCAAAGATGCCCACACTCTAATCCCTGGAACCTGCAAATGTGTTATCTTACATGAATAAAGGGATTTTGTAGATATGACTAACTCATGGACCTTGAGGTGGGGGGTTATCTGGTAGGGCCCAGTGTAATCTCAAGGGTCCTTATAAATGAAAGAGGGACTTGGGAGGTCAGAGAAGGTGATGTGATGATGGAAGCATGGGTCAGGGTAATGCTAGTACTGGCTTGGGAAATTGAAGAGGACCACAGCCAAGTGTGAGAGCCTGTTGAAGCTGGGAAAAGCAAAGAATGGAGTCTCCCCCAGAGCCTCCAGAAGGAACTCAGTTTTGCCAATATCTTGATTTAGCTGAGTAACTGTAAGATAGTCAATTTGTATTGTTCTAAGTCACTGCGTTTGTGATAATTTGTGGCAGCAGCAATAGGAAACTGAGATAGCTTTATGTCATTTGCAAAGCTCTTTTACAATCCTAGGAATTTACCTCTCCATTTTGCTAGTACCTTTCTTCTTCCCTCTTGATCCCAGGTTCTGCTTGCCTTAAACTCTAATCCCTTAGCCCCAGGATCCTCTGTGAATGCTTCCCACATGGTGTCCTTTGGGACTGTCTATGTTTTTATGCACAAGTTCCCTTTTTTCCCCTCCCTTCTACAGTCTTTCCTTACTTTCCCCTAAACCTTCCTACAAAAGCACTCTCACTAATATAAACAAAAGTGTATTCTGCATATGGTCTGAGCCTGGTCTTCAATCGGGGAGCTGAAACAAAAATGTTTATTTGAAATATCATGCTTTATTTTGGAGGCCGAGGTGAGTAGATCATGAGGTCAGGAGTTCGAGACCAGCCTAGCCAATATGGTGAAACCCCATCTCTACTAAAAATACAAAAAATAGCTGGGCATGGTGGCGCATGCCTGTAATCCCAGCTACTCAGGAGGCTGAGGCAGGAGAATCGCTTGAACCAGGAGGCAGAGGTTGCCTTGAGCCAAGATTGCACCACTGCCTGGGCAACAAAGCGAGTCTCAAAATAAAAAATAAAAAATAAAAGAAAAAAAAGGAAAAAAATATTTTAATGTCAAAATCAAGAAAAATTTTAGTAGTATTAATATAATGTTTTAAATATCTTGTCGGTTCAAATGGTTTTCTGCCTCCACTTGCCCTTGGGAGTAAAACGGATGCTCCATGAAGGTGTGTCTTGTTCACTTTGGACCTTCCTTGACTCGTGGCATAAAAGTTGAATTTCTTTGTGTATACTTGCACCTGAAGAGCCAGGTGTTAAACACAACCTGGATTTGCCCGGGGTGTTGTATTTGTCAATCAGGACTACTGCATTTTTACTTTCTGTTCCGTTGTCTTCTTCATGCATGAACTAAATGTTGAGTGTGATAGGGGAGAAGCTTCCCCTAACAACCCGGATTTGCCCTGGGGTGTTGTATTTGCCAATCAGGACTACTGCGTTTTTACTTTCTGTTCTGTTGTCTTCTTCGTGCACGAATTATATGTTGAGTGTGATAAGGGAGAACCTTCCCATAAAACCTAAAATGGCAAAGTGAAAAGGTTACAGTTAATTCTCAGCAAGAAGGACAAAGGTACTTGAATTTAAATAGCCTTTACATAGCACATCCCTTATTGAATCTCTTGGAAACAGTCATTTTTTCGTCTTCATGAAAATAATGAAAGTCAGCTGCACACAGATTTTCCACCAGTGGGCACTGGGGACTAGAATAAGCACATTTTTCAGCTAGGCTGACTCATCCACATCCATTGGAATGAAAATCTCTGCCAAGTATGGCTGAGGAGAGGAAGATGTAAAAACTATTTGTTTATATCATGTTTTTTATCCTCATGCAAAGGGATTTATGTGATTTGTGTAAGAACAGCAATTAATTTTCATGTATTTCTTCCTTGGGTTTTCCCCAGTTTCCACAAAGCACTGGCCACTCAGTGGAGGAAGACTTTTCTGAAAAGAGATTTAAACCCTTTCCAATGTTATTTTTGAACCATTCTATGTAGATTTGACCAAAGATGAAGTTTTCACTTGCCTTTATGTACTATATATTTGAACTGCTCATAGAATCCATTGTTCTTTAAATACACTGTGCATTCATGGATAAAATGAAATCTATATGAGATCTCTCTGAGGATTTTTGTTATTCTTATGCTTTTCTTCTGAGCATCTTCAAGTAATTGATTTTTACCCAGTAACTGATAAGTAGTCAGTTTTTTATAAAAAGTGGTTACTTTGGGGGAATTGGGAAGAGGGAAATTAGCAACTGAGGATGCAGTTTATATATGTCATGTAACTCAGAGCATGAGGTATGTATTAGATTTTTTACAGAGTAATTTAAATAAATGAAAGAAAATAGAAAAGGAAAAGAAAGTGGTCACTGTACTGAGCTCATAAGAGAAGTGATGCCACACAGCAAAACAAGCACACAGAAACTTGTCTTAGCATTCTGAGGCCTCATTAAAAAATGAGTTGCATCTGACAGATGTGTAGTTGTATGCATTTTTAATCTCGGCCATATGGAGGCAGAAATCCTACTAAAACAGTGCTATTTCAAACAGTTATATCTATGGAAATGCATATAAATAATGCTTCTCATTCAAAGATGAAAGGTAAAACAGGCAACTAAACTGTTCCTATAAGTTTAAATGAGATGCTCAACAAAGAATTGTCAGTAAGGGATAATTGCTATAAGTCTTCAGTAGACATTAAGATTCCATGTACTTTTCCATTTAATTTTAGTGAAAATTGTGTTACTGCACTTTGACATTGTAACTTACAAAACCTTTTAATTTTTTGGAAGTAGGCCATAACTCTAAATACCATTATAAATAATGAATCTTGTATGACTGGGTACATTACCTCAAGGGAAATCCCCTGCCCCTCATGAACCTAATATCAGAGCATCTGGATCAGCAAAAGAATTCTAAGAGCTTCCTAACGTCAGACAGGTCTTCTTATCCAATTCCATCCAAACACAGAGGCCAAGACTTCTAACAGCACTGATAACATCAACTCCAACAGCAGATATGTGTGTGTGTGCGTGCATGTGCGCAAGCTTGTGTGTGTGTGTGTGTGTAATTTTTAAAACTTTTATTTATTTATTTTTTATTTTAGTGATGAAGCCTTACTATGTTGCCCAGGCTGGAGCACAGTAGCTATTCATAGGTAAGATCATAGCTCACTGCAGCTTGCAATTCTTGGCCTCAAGCAATCCTCCCACATCAGTTTCTAGAGTAGCTGGGATTACAGGCACATGCCACCTAGTTATATTTTACTACAACTAAGTAACTAGTTTAATCAACTGTTTTGCTAAATTAAACTGCTGTGCTGTGGTTCGAATGTGTCCCCTAAAGCTCATGTGTTGGCAACTTAATCTCCAGTGCAATAGTGTTGTGATGATGGATTCTTGAGGGTCATGGGTCATGAGGGCTCTGCCCTCTGGGATGGATTAGTGCTATTAATTTGAAAGTAGGTTATTATTTGCCTCAGAAATTGGTTCCCGATAGAATGATTTCAATCTCTTGCCCTCTCATGCTCTCTGCCATCCACCATGGGATGAAACAGCAGAAAGGCCCTCGTAGAGGTGGGCCCCTCGATCTTGAACTCCCCAACCTCCAGAACTGTAAGAAATACATTTATTTTCCTTAGAAATTACCCAGTCTATGGTATTTTGTTATAGCAACACAAAATGGGCTAATGTATTTTGTGATTTTCTCCCCAATTTAGCAAAGTATGAATCCAACAGGTTAGGCTGTCTGTTTACTTTTACAAAAAACCATACTCCCTGATGAAGAAATACTAGAATTTTTTTCTTCTAATCTTTTTTTGTAAATAACATCCAGCAAATAAAGCTGAATTTCTAATTAGCTTCCTGTAATTTGGAATTTTTTTAGACTACTTTTAAGTTTAAAAATATATTATAATCACATATGTGTTATACAAATAATTATAATTATATGATATATAACATAATTTATATATAATATGCCTATAAAGTAAAAGCCACAGTAAATGCTGACACTGGCATTGCAGATGTAAAATTTCTGTAGTCAATTCTTATTTTCTTTAAAATTGCATATCGGGTTTTCAAATAATAAAAAATACAAAGCAAGGTAGATTACAGAAAATAATTAAAGAAATAGGGCCATTTAGCATCTACCACTAGCTGAATGACTTTTAACAAGTTCTTTAGCCTTCCTGTGGCTTTATTTCTTTGCTGTAAAAGGTTCCACTTGTGAGATGATGCATATAAGGCATGTAATACAATGCCTGGCACGCAGTAAGAACTCAATAGACTTAAATTTTAAGTAAATTAAATGCCATAACCAGATGAGTAAAATATAAAGAAATCATTACTACAGTCTATACTGAATATAGAGAAAACTTAAAGCAATAAGATTTTTTGTAGGTTTAATGGTGAGTTATCAATAGTATTGCTCTCTACTTTATATGAAAAATAATACATGTTGAAACTCCTGCAATCTTCGGTTGAAGTAAGATAAGTATGACATAAAGGAAGATCATCTGGCTGCTGATATGGCACCTCACAAGGTGGACGTTTATTAGTGGGGCCACTGGGCTCTGGTTTTGTAAGTGAAGAAATTTGATTTTATGCAGATCAGAATAATTCAGATTGTCTAGAATAGATTCACACTGAATAACATGACAAGGGTGGATATGTAAATCAAATGCCAATGTGTTAATTTGCCTTTCTCAAGTGCTGAAATACTTGAACTCTCCATTGAGGGTACCAATAGTGAATCAGATACGTGATTTAGTACGGATAGAAAAAGAAATTAGGAAATCGGTGGTTTAGAGGATGTATATGCCCTAGACAGGGGGAAAACGTCACAAACTTTTCCTTTAACAAAGTAAAGTTCAACTTACTAATTAATAGAACATTCTTTCCTGCTAGTTGCAAGCGCTGCTGAGCTCACAGTGAAGAGTCAGCATCAGCCTCCAGCCCTGGGAGTGAACCACCTGGAATGCCAGCTCACATTAGATAACTATAGTCCCAGACTTCATCTGACCACAAATGTATGAGAGATATCAATCAAGAGCTGTCCAGCTGAGGTGGTCAAACCATAGAACTGTGAGAAAAAATAATAAATAGTTGTTTTAAGCCACTAAGTTTTGGGATGGTATGTAATGCAGCAATACATTCTAGAAACAATCATCTACTGTCCCTCAATACATCTTTTGCTTCAACTAGATTATGATATTCAATAAGCTTCCTATTCTTTTGTATTCAATATTTTTGGATTACTTTTACAAGACCTTTTTATTCATTTATTCATGTAACGCATACTTATTGCTTCTATATATCAGATACTATTCTAGAAATGGCAAATCCCCTTCCTTTACAGATCTTATATCTTAATGATGGAGACAGACAATAAAAAAGATAAGTTATAATGGTTAAGAAGAAAAAATAAAACAAGCAAAAGATAAAACATACAATGCTGAGGGATGAGTGGAGCAGTGGAAATGTTATAGAGGGTGGATGAGGAGGCTTCCCTGAGAAAGTGAGTTAATACCTGCAGGAAATGAAAGAGCTAACCTAGTGAATAACTCAGGAAATTCTAAGTGTGTCTGGTGGAAAAGAGGACAGTGCAAATAGAAAAAAGGATGAAAGTAATAAGAGATGAGGCCAAGAGAGATAATGTCGAGCCTTTTAGGTCATAGTTAGAATTGTGACTTTCGTTTGAATAAGACAAGAGTTCACTGAAGTGTTTTACAAAGAGGAGTGACATTAATTAGACATAATTGACAGAATCATTCTGAGTATTGTGTTGAGAACAGACAGTAAAGGACCACAAGTAGAGAGACCAAGAAGGAGATCACTGTAGTCATCCAGGTAAGAGATGATGGTGTCTTTGGCTAGCGTGGTATTTGATGAGTGTCAGGGGTCTCGGATTTGATTTTACTCCACTTATACTCTAATATGTTAAACTGTAACTGTTTCACAGAACCTAGCAGAATATATGAGACTCCTGGGTCAGAGGCAAAGGACTTTGTTACCCAGGGCATAGCAACCAGCATGAGCTTTATGTCTGTGTTGGTTCCTCTTGTCCTGCCAAGTCCCTTAGAGGCAATATGGACAGGCCTAGATGAATGCTACATAATTGGTGGGCATGTGTTGCAGCTGAGGAACACTGAGTTTGGGAAATCCATCTCTTTTATAATGGTAATAGGCAATAAGCAAACCTGCTCTTTGTCCTGGGGGGTGGGATTGCCCCAACCCTTCAGGATGCTCATCACAAACACAACCCTGAGAAAGGTCCTGAGTGAAGGGTGGTCAGGGCCTTGCATTCTTGGCATAACTGGCCAGAATGTATAGGGACTCACAGGTGGTTTGTCTGGCAAGTTGAAGTGAGAAGTAGTTAAATTCTGGATATATATTTAAATTAAAGTTAAGATTTGCCAGTGGCTTTAATTTGTAAGACATTTTTCTAAATAATCCAATATTTTATTAGTCTAAATTATTTGAGACCAATGTTATCTACAAGTATTGGGAGTACCTTATGTTTACTCCCAGCATGCTGAATGTACCTACCATCTAGTTGGATATAATTGAGTACATCCCAATTCTAAACCTCAAAATAATATATTCAAGTCACAACACACTTGAAAATCCTCAGATGAAAAAAGAGATTAAACATCTGAGAATGTTACCATATCCCAAATTTGGCAACTGGTGAGATAATGCACTAGATAATATAGTTTATAAAAAGTGGGGACATTATCATTTAAATTTTTTCTAACTAAAGAAAACACTATTTTCTCCTTGCAAAGTCTACCACTTGCATCATCTGCTTCTGAAAGATATCCACTTTCAAACTACGTTTGGCATATGTGCAAATTTCCAATTATACCCTCTTTAACCTTAGAAGGAATTCAACGATCCAAAGTTGCAACATAATGCTTGCATTATCAGAAAAAAAAATTTATCAAATAGCTAAATGTACAAACATGTTACATAATACATTTCCCTTTTTTGTAACAAAAATTAATGGAAGTAATATTCTACTGGTTGGCATTCAACATTTCAGCAATCCAAGGTGTGTCTGAAGTTCTTAAATTAGTTTCTCAATCTGGGGAAGTGTTTTAGTTCTCCAGGTTACAATTATACCTAATCAATAAAAAATAATTGAAGCTGAAACTGCTAGTGTATGATCAGTAGAAAGCCTAATTAATATGCTCCATGGGAACATGTCGTACTAATAGAACATTCCTTCATGCTGTGTTTCTCAACACTGACTAGATATAGAATCAATTGGTGCTTAGAATACAACACAAAGAATACCATGTCTAGGCCCCAGTCCTGGAAAATTGGCTTCAATTGGTTTTGAACGGAGCGAGGCCTTAGGATTTTTTTTTTTAAAGCTCTATAGGTGAATGTAATGTTCAATCATCATTGAGTACCACTGTGCTACTGAATTCCAAAATACCACTGCCCCAAAGTCAAATGTGTGGCCTAGTGTTCTATATCACTAAACATATTGAAAATAAAATGTTCTCTGCTAGGCACGGTGGCTCACGCCTGTAACCCCAGCACTTTGGGAGGTTGAGGCGGGAGGATCATCTGAGGTCAGGAGTTTGAGACCAGTCTGGCCAACATGGCAAAACCCCATCTCTACTAAAAGTACAAAAATTACCCTGGCATGGTGGCACACGCCTGTAATCCCAGCTACTCAGAAGGCTGAGGCAGGAAAATCGCTTGAACCCAGAAGGCGGAGGTTTCAGTGAGCCAAGATGGCACCACTGCACTCCAGCTGGGCATCAGAGTAAGACTCCATCTCAAAAGAAAGAAGAGAAGAGGAGAGAAGAGGGGAGGGGAGGGTAGGAAGGGAGGGGAGAAGAGATCTCATAGAGAGGCATCTTCAAATATCCCAAATCTATTCTTTCTCTTTTTCTTCTTAGAAAGTGAATAATAATAGTCTTGCCCTTCTTGCTTATTTTATCTGTGTGCCCTAAACTTCCAAATATAAAGACTCCTGTCTATCCAAATTACAGCATCTTCCAAATGTTAATAAGGAGACCTGATCAAATAGATTTGATCAGGCTGGGGCTACTCTACCACTTATGTTCCAGGTGAAATTGCCTTCAACATCTCAGTTCCCAAGCTTTTAGGAATCCAAAGCTATCTTCAAGATTTCTACAAATTCATAGAGAATAAGCATTCTCCCAGCCTCTTCAACTTTTTGGCTGAGGTTGCCTCTGCTTGCAACATGTGAACTTCAGCTGGAAACTCAGTCCTTCTTTGCTGCTCACACTCACTAGATAGCCTCTTGCATAGAATATTCCTGAGTTTTTTTACACTTTCCTGACCATTCTGGCAACAAGGGGAGGTGGTAAGGCGTGCAATTCTGAGATAAACTGCTAGTTGTCTCTCAATATACATTCTCTTCCTTCCTTTCAGTAATTCACCACTCCCTTCTCCCCACAACTCAAAGACTGTCTTTGTTTGGAAAGACATGTCTATTCCTAAAAGAAATTCTGATGACAGTTGTTGTGATAATATAAACCATATTAAAGCATTTTTGAACAACAATTGGTATATATTAGCCCCTTATATATACACAGGAAATATTCTTCTTTCTTTGAAATAGTTTGCTAATATAAAATCTTATTTTTCTACCTAAAAATATCTTCCAGAATTTGGAAGTAAAACATCAAGTAGTCTAAAACCATGAAATCTGACAGGTTTTTAAAAGTTTTTTCTGAGATAGGGCCTTGCTCTCTCAGCCAGGCTGGAGTGCAGTGGTGTGATCATACCTAACTGTAGCCTTAACCTTCTGGGCTCAAATGATCCTCCTGCCTCAGGCTCCTGAGTATCTAAGACTACAGACACATGCCACCATTTCCAGATAATTTTCTAAATTTTTTGTAAAAATGAGACCTTGTTATGTTGCCCAGGCTGGTGGTCTTAAACTCTTGGCCTCAAGTGGTCTTCCCGCTTCCCAAAGTGTTGGGATTACAGGTGTGAGCCACCTTACCTGGCCAACTTTGTAGATAAACAAATTCAAGTTGTTTGTAGTTTTATTTTCATTTTATCTCAAGATAAAATAAATGAATGCTGATATAACCAATGGTGCCATTGTTGCAAAACTAACCTCCATAAGCTGGCATCAAATACAGACATCTCTAGTCTCAGCATTTTCTGCTTTCTTGATTGCTCAGGCTCTTTAAAATTAAAATTCTATGACTGTTTGACTAAGCCAGCAATTAATGATGGTAGAATTGAGAGTGGTCTGGTAAATAAGAGACTCTGTTTACCTGAAATGTTTCCTTTATGCCATGAAATGTAAACCACTGTTAAAGAGCATACAAAAATGTCTGCCTGTTCTTATGGTTACACATTTTTTATCTCCATCTTCTATAAGCAAGAAGATACAGGCTTTCTATCTCTCCTCAACAACTAAAGCCATGACTTTTGTACTAGACAACAGGGTGGAGGTAAGGAGAAGGGAAGAATTAGGGTGTTGGGAGCAGGCTGGCCATGGTGATAGTGTTTATATGTGTCTTAAGAGTGTGGCCTTAGAAACCAGATACCCCAAGTTCAAATCTCAAATCTACCACTAACTATCTGTGTGATATTAGGCAAGTTGCTTAACTTGTCTATGCCTCGGTTGGATTAAAGATCTGTAGAATAAGAATAATGATTTATTATAATAATGATAGTGCCACCTAACAGGAGTGTCATGGAGATTAAGGTTCATGCAGTGCCCTTAACATATTGTAAGAGTTAAATAAATGCTAGCTATTATATTAAGAAACTGCATTGACCAGACTTGATATCAACTGAAATTTCAGTTTGAGTGGGTAGAATCTGGTACGTAATATCTCATCACCTTTGCAACTAATTATACCAACTAACAGAAGCGACACATTTTATTATCTAAGAGACGAAATGCCATCCCCAGTCATAGAAAATTTCCTCCTACTTATTCTTTCTATGGGGGATTCCACCCACTTTAAATGAGAGTGAAAATTCTTAAGAAGACATCTGTTTTGTCTTATATGTTATATATGTCTTCATATTCACACACAGCGTGTATTTTCTATGTGTTCTACCCATGAAAACAGCAGAAAATGTTAGAGACACATTATACTCTGCATAAAGCATCTGAAGTCAGCAGAAGGAACAAAAAAAAAATGATTGTACTGTCAGAGTTAAAAATTCAAAAATATTAATCAACTTTTATATGCATAAATGCCCCTTGTGAATTTTTCTCCCTCATGTCAATGAATTTTATAACTAGCATTTTTAAAAAAACAAACTAAACATTTAGTCAAGTGCATGGTTCTCACGTATCTCTGATGCTGTGTTGTGGAAATTGTTTTTGAATACTTAAAAAACAAAGCTCATCATCATCCTCACCGAACCAGGGCTGACTGTCAGCTTAATGGTAAAAGACCCATGGCCCCAAAGTAATGCCTTTGCAGGTGGGAGCGTTCCAATGAATATTTGGACATGAACTGTCAAAAGGGATATACACAGCAGTTTCAGCATTCAAGGGAAGGCATGTTATTATATCATTGTATAAATGGACTTTGCCGAACAGTAACAGGGATAGGAGAGGGAGTAATCTCTAACCAGCTCTTGTGGTGGAAGGTGACTGAAGCCGTCTATCCCCCACTGCATGCGGAAATAAGAGAAATGCTTGAAGTTTAGTAAGTTTTCAGATTTCCAGGCACCCTTTTGTTTAAAATCAGTTCTAACTTTTGACTTCTGCATGCTGCATTTCGTGTTCCACACAGTAAACTTTCTTTATTTTGCAGAATGGCATTAACTTCTACTACACTGCCACATTTTACTATGCATTAAGCATCTGGTACAATAGACTAAGCAACACAGAAAGCAGGATTATGCTGTCAGACTTAATAATTCAGGAATATTAACCAGCTCTCATAATTATCAGTAGTTCTTCACGTGTAATTGGCCCTCGATGTACATTTCTGTACTTCTCTGTAGCTCTCTGCATAACAGTATAAGGTAATAGTGCCTAATCTTTCATGTAACTAACAGAGTTAATTTGGCTAAATGAAATCAATTCATCAGTGATAGTATCTCCTTGCCACAATAAAGAATTACTTAATCACACACACACTCAAACCCATGTATACACCTTACGAAACAGCTATTTTTAAAACAACACAACACACTTATTGCAGACAGTAATGAAGGAGTAAAGCTGTTTTGCCTTAGGCAAACTTGAGAAAGGAGAAAAGTAAACCATGTTCAAAACTTTACCTGTGAAGTTAACATCAAGAGCTTGGCTTACTGCAAGCTTTGGTTTGAGACCATTTGCTCCCCTTTTTAATTAAAATGCTTTTTGTCATCTGCTGTGACTCTACTTGTACTACTGCAGGACTGTTTAAATCCACTTTATACTTTGTCTTAAACAGCTTAATTGCGATTTAAACAACACGTCATTTACCTGCGAGGGTCAGAGTTCAGGATCCTGGGCTGAAGCAGTGAGAACTGGTCAGAAGTTCTTGTTCTCATCATATCCTTATTTGAACATATCAAGTTGAAAAACCATCTACTGTGTTGATCCTAGACAAATGTCTCTTTAAACATTTTACTAATTGATATTAACAGTTGCCATGCCTTTGCAGTTTCCTGTTTTCCTCCCTTGCTTTCAGTTGCCATGTCCTGTGCATGCCACCTTATCTGAGGGAAATGACTGCTTTTTTCTATGGTGATTTTCTACTATTTATATGAAATGGGCTTTGAAACAATAGAAACAGATTTGTTGAAAACAAATAGGAGTTGCTAAATAGGAGTAAATGTGCTTTGAGTAAGGAAGGGAGTTTATAGAGTAGCAAAGTGAATGTACATCAGTACTCCTTCCCTGTGCCTGAACTGTTCAAAGCACTCTGGGTTGTTCTCTGCTCCTTGACTATGTTTCAGACGGATAAAGTTTGCTAATATTTGAACTCTAGTTAGGGTAGCTATCTAGTAGAGACAGCTTTCATATGTTTCCTTTCATATGTTAAAGGAAGGATCTACCAAATGCATTTCTTAGAGCGATTGTTTCAGTGACTGACACTGAAAGAGTTCTAGAATCAGAGTGGGTCTGCCTGTCATTAGGGAAGACACACTTAGAGGGAATTGTTAGAATATATGCTACTTGATATCTGACAGTAGGTTGCAAAAACTAGCCTTTTCGTCTCTATAATAGGGTTCCTAGTGAAATAAAAAGAGAGAAGTTCTTAAAGTGAAGGATGCATGTTTTCAGAGGTAAAAATGAGGAAGTAGAAAATACGACAAGCTCATTCATTTGGAAAGTCTAGCTCGTGAAAATAAGTGGAATAGTATTTCATTAAAAGAATCATTGAACCTCTCTGAGACTCAGTTTCTTCATTTAAAAAAATGAGAATGGCATTCAACTAACAAAGGTTTTTCTGGGGATTAAGTTAGGTATATAAGGCACTGAGCATGATACATAACAAATGCCTTATAAATGGTATTTATATACTCCTGTTTTCCTAGAACTCATTAAACAGTACCTCAATTGGATTTGACCCTTTTTATATTAACATGTTGTGACTAAATTAAATGGTTAAATATCATTACATAATGTTAAATATTCTGAATACTGAATTCAAAAGACTCATTTTCCTTTACACAATTTGATTACAAACGTAAAACAAACACTATTTCCCCCAAGGAATTTAGTCAACAGGGAAACTTTTTTTTTTTTTTTTTTTTTTTTTTAGACGGAGTCTCGCTCTGTCACCCAGGCTGGAGTGCAGTGGCCAATCTCCACTCACTGCAAGCTCCGCCTCCTGGGTTCACGCCATTCTCCTGCCTCAGCCTCCTGTGTAGCTGGGACTACAGGTGCCCGCCACCACACTCTGCTAATTTTTGTATTTTTAGTAGACATGGGGTTTCGCCACGATAGCCAGGATGATCTCAATCTCCTGACCTCGTGATCCGCCCATCTCGGCCTCCCAAAGTGCTGGGGTTACAGGCATGAGCCACCGCGCCAAGCCCAGGGAAACATTTTAAGACTTAATTTAGAGAAAAAAATTCAGGAATATACGTTGTAAAAAATCTTAAAATTTCAGATGTGATACCTGGTGCATAAATGGCAACAGAACTCCTAAAAAGAGAAAATAAATCTAGGCAATTTATTTTAAAAACATCTTTGTTTCTGTTTATTTTTTTTCAGTTTAAAGGAAGTATCCTGATCTCTTCCCACATGCCAACCACTGTGCCAGGGACAGAGAATACAATACAAAATAGGATATAGCCACTACCTCAAGAATTTGACAGACACAATAACACTTCTTTATAAAAACAATCTAAATGCAGTGATAGAAATAGGCATACACTTTAGGACCACAGATAAAGTGAGCCTGACAGGACCAGTGTAGAAGAGAAGGAGGGAGTCGGGAGAAGCTTCCTGAAGGAAGTACCATGTCAACCAAGTCTAATGGAAGTAAGTGAAGGCATTCCAGGCAGAGCAGAACATGGGCAGAAGCACAGCGTGCCAGACAGGGGAGTGAGTGCTAGGAAGCACAAGGGCAGGTGGGAGGTAGGGACAAAGCAGGACACAAAGGCGAGATGCTGGAGCAGATCACCTAGAGCTCTGTATGCTGAATTCAGGAGCTTAACATTAACCCAGTGCATGGATGAGTGCTTAAAGCGAATCAGCCAAATCTGCATTTAAGATAAAACAGTGACATGGGTACCGAGGTTGAATTGGACAGGGTTGTTGAGGATAAGGTGGTGAAAGGAATACCATGTATTGACTTGAGGTGAGGAAAAATGAAGATCTGAATTAGAACAATGCTAAATTCATAATATCAATATACTCACATACACACATGAAAAGACAAACATATATTTTTAGGTATTGCAACACTGTTTTCATTTGAATTTAATGCATAGATATAAATATGTAAGATTTTGGTAATTTCAGTGGGGATATATGGGAGTAGCTAAAGGAATCAGAAAATTTTACTTCTTCAGGACCTTCCCAGTCATCTCATATTGAGATCTTTTTTGTCATCAAAAGTAAAATGTTGTGTTTCAAAACAAATTCAAATAGGATACAGTCAGAGAAAAAGGACAATACCCGCTGATAGATTAGCTCTGCATCATCATCTTAGACTGTTGTTCTCTACTCATGGGTAATCACTACAGTCACTTGCTATACATTAAGAATAAGGGAAATATATTGACTATCAACACAATTACTAGATTTTGTTCTGAAAATTCTATTTAATATAAGACAAGAAAAATATGCAATGAGAATAGATACTTGAAATGAGCTAATTCATATTTGTATTATTTCTATTCTGCAAAACATAAAAGATTCAACTGTAAAAACTAATAAAACTAAAATGAACGTCCAATAATATGGCATCTTATGAAGTAATTACAAAACTAGTACATTTTCTGTATACTAGCAATTGCCACCTACCACCAATGAGAAATAATTCTATTCCTAATGACAAAATTTAAAATATTTAACACTAAGTTAACAAAGATGTGTAGAAAGTATTTGAGGAAAACTGAAATTTTTTACTAGGCAAGGTTGAAAGAGTAGAATAAATTGAGTGCAATACAAACTTTGTGAATTTAGAGGATTTACCATTTTTAATATGTGAATTCTACTCCCAAGTTAATCAGAAAGTCATTATGATTCTAATGAAAATACTAATAAAGAAAATTTCAGAACATAACTTAATCATTAAAAAATTTTTGCTAAGCAAAACTGTCTCCCAAATTACCAAGACAATTTTGAGAATAAGAAGCAAGCAATATAGGTATTTGCCCTAAAAATAGTTACAACTACTATAAAGCAATAATAATTCCACCTATTTTTTTCTTACTGGTGTTGCAATTGTAAAACATATCAGTAGAACAGACTAGATCACATCCAGCCTCATTATCAACCCCAATGATCAAAGAAACTTAATGGTACATAACTTTTGACTTAAGAAATTGGCCAAGATTACAAATACGTATCCTATATTCATACACTCATAAAAACTGATCACAGGAGTCGTATTTCCTTTTCATATTTAAATTAACATGACAGAAACCCCACCCCAGTCTTACACCGGTGCTGTCCCTGCTGCCACATCTCTCTAGATTCTTGGGGATGCTTACATGCTCTGAAGTTTGGTTCTGGCAGTCACCTGCCCTGGCCAGTGGTCTCACTCTGGACCACTGTTCCACAACCTCTGCTGGCCTTCTCTGTCTTCACTTTAACCTAAGTGAGGAAACAGACACAGATTATTCTCTTTGGCCAGGGTGAGAACAAACTATGCCCCTTAACTAGATACACTGAAGACCATGTACATGACACTCCCCAGACTGTGGGGTTAACCTGATAGGGGTGGGGGCAGTTGAGCAGGACTGAAAGGGAAGGGGGAACTCAGACCTTGCCGGGTCCCTTTTTACTCTTTTGAATTAACAAGAATGTCAAACATATGCAATGGCCCACAGAACAGTACAATGAACTTTGTGGACCAAACGTGGGCAGGTCTTACCACATACAACCCACAACCCGTCCTGCTCCCTCCTGTGTTATTTTGAAACAAATCTCAGGCATTGATTTATTTCTTCTGTAAACATTTCAGAATGTATCTCCCTAACATAGGGATTTTTAAAACATAATCACAAACTTATCACACCTAAAAAAATGATCAGTGTTTCTGTAGTATCACTAAATGTCTAATAAATGTTCAAATTAAAAAAAAAAAAAACAAATGGGAATTACAGCACAAAAACCATACCACATTACCTGGTAGATAGGACTCTAAGAATCCAGAACTGGCAGCTTTTCTCCTTCACCTTGGGTGTGGCCATGTCTCCAAGCTCTGTGGTCACCACTAACAAGAATATCCTTGATCAAAAATCTCCTAGCTAAAGCCCATTCATGAAAGACAGAGAGAACAGAATCTTTTCCTATTTTATATTTGCATGATCAAAAGGCCAGTTAATTTTTTTTTCTCAGAACAAAAGAACAGTCTGTTCTCACAGGTATTTTATGCCATGCTCCAGTTAACTTGTCTATATTCATGTCTGTATTATTTATGGGAGAAAGTGTAATGCGGTGGGCTAGAATCTTGGCTTTGCCTCTGATTACCTAAGTGGCCTTGGGCAGGTTATATCACTTCTCTGAGTTTTCATTTTCTTTTCTATAAAATAGGATTAATAACATCTACCTCTTGGTTGTTGTAGGAATTAAATAATTCACATAGACAGAATGTCATGTGATGGTTTGATAAATGACAAGTATAAATAATAATATTCTTTAAACTGAACATAGGATAATAATAATTGGCACATTTTAGTTTGAACATGAATCCAGTGTGAACACAAACTCTGATTCTAGAGGTGGGAAAAGGGTACTTCAGTCATTCATTAGTTTATTCAACAAATGTGTACCTTACTTTGCAACATTTTTGCTAAATGCTAAATACATGCTAAATGAGGAAAAATTAGAAAACATTCAAAACAAAAACACAAAGTCCCCCCTACCAATATCACTTACATTTTTTCCCCCACGGACATAACCACTGAGAATATTTTGGCAACCCTTTTTCTTGTTCTCCCTGTCTTTGTAACTCTGTTGCTGTCTGTGTCGATCAACCA